GTATGTATGTATGTATGTATGTATGTATGTATGTATGTATGTATGTATGTATGTATGTATGTATGTATGTATGTATGTATGTATGTATGTATGTATGTATGTATGTATGTATATGTGTATATATATATATGAATGTATATATATATATGTATGTATATATAGATGTATGTATATATAATTATATGTATATATAATTACATATATATATACATGTGTATGTGTATATATATATATACATGTATGTATATAAAATAATATTATATATATATATGTATACGTAGGAGGCTTATATATTTGTATGCATTATGTAGGCATGGGCAAATCTCTGGACAATCTCTGACTCACTGACTCTTGTCGAAGAAGCGCCCCCTGAATCAATATCGTTGGGTGATGGGTGGTATTCTCAGTGGCCGAATCAGAAACCATGACGTTTCAGCAAAACTTGCTGCATATATATATATATGTATATTTGGTAATGTTATCGGTAGTGTTATTATTGGTTATAAAATATCGGTAATATACAATAGTATGTATGCAAAAGGTTTTGTTGAAACTATATTATATAAAATATACTGTAGACGAAAATAATCATTACACTACCAATAGTATATAACAATAATAAGCGTAATTTGTTTCAATCTATCGATGTACACATATATATATATATATACTCGTATTATATATCTAGTTCTCGGGTCCTGTCCCGTCCCGTTTGTCTGTCTGTTTGTTTGTCCTCAAACCAAATATATAGTTGTACTATATACAGTATTATGTATGTATTATAATGAAGTGTATATTTCCACTTTAGTATGTCGGCTGCCATGAATCTGATTTCTTTGGTGCTTGCATGTTGCGACCAGCGACTTCTCACCACTGAGTCATCATGGCGGAGGAACAATGATCCAAGCCATGGATGCTATTAATTCGATCTTTCTTTTGGCAATTATCTTGGAGATACCCTCATCGTAAAGATACAAAACACTATAGAAGCCATGGCCCATAGAAATAGTTGATTTCCCTGTTAATAGCATGGTGATGTTCCAGTTCGTTATGTAAACATTGACCAGAGGGTATGCGGTATGCTTCAAGATTCAAGATAGTTGAATGGACCACATTTGATGAAACCTATAGGTTGAAAGAAAACCATCTTGTGGGATCCAAGAATGAGCCGCCCTTAAGTTTTAGAGCCCCCTTTCAGTGGTTATACCTTCACCACAGTTTGGTAAACTCAACTCGTTGTTCAAACCTTCTTCTTGGTGATAATTTTTTTTGTGAAATCCCAGTCGGTTTCAATTGACATACCCTCTGGTAATTTAACATAGCTATTGAAAATCACCATTTTCAATGGGAAAATCCACTATAAATGGCCATTTTCAATAGCTAAGTTAAATTACCAGAGGGTACCCCCAAACTTTCGGAGCGAACAAGGCTTGGAAAAACCAGTTGAGATTCCTGGAGTCTAGATGTCCAGATGCAAGTCCCGTTCTCATTTCCAGATAGCCCAAATGCCCAACACCCATGGGTCACAACTACCACATATCCCAACCGACTGGATAGGTGGTTTATTCCTTTCTATAGTTTTTGGATAGCCTATACATGGAAAATTACTTTTTTTTCAAGCTCTTCACTAAAAGGAGACTGAGTTTTTGGTGACCTTCTGATTGACGTTACGAGTTACGAGTTGTGAGTTACGAACTGATTGCGGGTCCTCCTTCCATGATGCGCCCGCCGACGACTGGACCTCGCCAAGGGTGA